GCATACTTGTTCCAAATATTTCACAAGTGTTACCAGATTTCACAGTATGGCCTCACCGATCACATTCACGTTAACAGTGCCAGTGTCTTTTGGTAGCCCAAGGTATTAGTGCAGTCACTCAGCAGATGCCCTGAAACTTTCAGCCCCCAGTACAGGAGCTCTTTCTCCTCCCACTGGTTCAGAAGTGGCACTGCTGGCTCTGCACACAGCTCTCACTGTGTTTTGTCCTGTTTTCAGGTTTACCACCAGCAAGAGCCGGCCAGGCTTGATCTGGATCAGCTGCTCCAAGAGTCCTCTGGCCAAGTGCACACGCGGGTCAAGGCGTCCAATGAGGAGTTGCTGGTGCACAAGGTGGCTGTCCTAGAGGTGCAGCTGGCAGCCTTGGTGCAGGACAGACAAGGCCTTTCATTGCAGCTGACACGGGCCAGGTAAAGGCAGGGAGGATACCCTAGGCAGGATGGTATTGGAGGTCTGTAATTACAGAGGTGGGAATTGTTACTTGAGGATTTATTGCATCCTGTGTCCTTTTCAGATGTTTTCACCTTCCATGGACAGAAAATGGAAGAATCTTGAGCAAAAAACCCCAAACAAACACTATACTGTGATTTGAATGTTATTTTTCTGACAGCTAAAGCTACCAAAACTCTCCTGAGCCTTGGGCTCATGTTTATGCCCCCTTGCACATTCCTGTGCAATGTCCAAAGCAAACCCATATAATTCTTCAGTATCTGGTACCTTGGCTCTGCATTAAGTAATAACTAATCCATACAGACTTTTACTGAAACCTGAAGCTTCTCTCTGGTTTTGGTTTCTTGTTCTATGTGTTTGAACATAGACCTTTCCTTATCAAGTAGTTTGGCACGGGATCTTCAGAATTCAAGGCTGTTACATAGGGACGTTGTGAGCAGAACACTAGAAGCTCAGGCTGAAAATCTGGAGGGCCTTCTGTTTCTAAGCTAACTCTGGGTACCTCTGGTGCAGGACCTGGAGTTGGTCACACCAGCAACAGGGAAACCTCTTGTCAAGTCTCGCTGTCTTTGAGAATTCTTGGCCATCATTGCTGTCTGGGTCCTGTACACTTTACCATGGGCTGCTGCAAGCATGAGATTTTACTGTATCTATTCATTTATATCTTAATTCCCTTTTAAATACAGGGAGCCTAGAAAATTACCTACATTACAAACAGCATTAAGAAGTCACAGGTCAGCCAGGGAAATACTCTTATTCTGTCTCCCTGCACAGTGGCTTGGAAGGGCTGATGTGATAAGGGCTGTGAGCAGAAGCTGGGCGTTTGCTGGCTGGCACAGACTTTGTGGGCACAGCTACCCGTGTGCCAGAGAACAGACAACACCAATTTCAGATTTGGCCACTGTGAGCAAATCTGGGCTTTCCGTGTTATCCTAAGTCACGGATAGGCCTGGGCATTCCCTCGGAGGGCCTGCACTGCTCTTTTCAATGGCAGAACTTGCTTCCTGTATACAAGTTTCCACGCAGCCCATTTTCCATACGCAGGGGTAGAGATCTTGAACCACTTCTTACTGGAGTAATCCCCTGTGAGTGCCAGGAGCAAGAAACTCATTTCTCTCTTTATTCACAACTTGAAGGTCAGTGAACGAGATCTTGGAATACAGCCTGTCTGAGGCTCAGAGGCGCATACCGCAGTTGGAGATCACCAGGAGGCAGCTGGAAATCCAACTTCAAACAGTCACGCAGGCCAACGAAGTGATACAAGGTGAGAGCTTCATGTGCTTTGTTTCTCATGACCCCATGGCCAGGGGGCTCTCTGCAGTGCTTCTGAGGAGTGAAGGAGCTGGAGAGAAATCCCTCCTATACTGACATTCAAATGCCTTAAGGTTAGTAAAGCCAGAACCTCTTTATGTTGACTCTATTTGTCATGGTTGCAGGGGAAGTGAAGTTCCTTAAATGGAAGCTGGAAGAAGAGAGATATCTCATGCAGGAGGAACGGAAAAACATGGCACAGCAGCTCCTGCAGACAGAGCAGCAGTATAACAAGACTCTCAAACTTCGGGAAACTGATCATGAAGTGGAAAGAAACAAGCTCCTGCAAAACCTGGTAGGAAACAATATCCTTCTGAATTCTTCAAGCAAGCTTTGTGGGCTGGCTTTAGAAGAATAATAGCCTGAGCATGCGAACTGGCAGCAGTCCTCTCTCATAGGCCACACGTTGCTAGACCAGGCAGCAGAGCCAATGGCTCGTACTTGAAAGCACATGAAGACTTACAGGACTATGCTGGACAGTAAATGCAGCCACAGATTCAGTTCAACAGAAGGCTGGGTGGTCCCCAAGGCATGGCAGCAAAGAGGTAGGATCTTACCAGAGTCCTGCCTACCGTGAAGGAGACTCCTACCAGTGCTGCCAACTGCAGTCAAGGAAACCTTGTTCATTCCTTTCTTTCATGGTCGACAGAGGAAGTATCTTTGGGCTTGAAGTATATGGAACCGTCCCCTTCTTCCTAGTACTTTGTGGCCATGTCTTATATCAACACTGACCATCTGAGAGCAGACAGGGGGGAAACAATAGAGAAATCTGAGAAACAAAAGAGCTGATACAGCTAAATATGTATGGCTGCAAGGGGGGAACTAGTCCTGACTCCAAACACAGATTGACAGACCGTGATGTGAGCATTCCTCCTCCAAGAGGGCACAGTGGGGTTCTAGAGGCTGGAACCATGAAAACCCTACATATAGAGATATAAAAAAAAACTATAAAAAAAACCAAAGCAAAAACTAAAAAGTGAAATGAAATGTCAGGCTTGTTCTCTCTTCAATTCCTCCCTAAGAGAGAGAACATCATTATGCCATGCCTAAATCATGGTTAGTCTGGACTTTAAGTCCTGGCTGCAGTTCTTGGCAGCTCCTCCCCAGAAGAACACACAAGAGCTAGAAGAAGTTCAGAAAAGGAAAGAAAGGAAGCTGGGACTGGCTGAGTAAGCACAGGAAAGGTCTACAGTGGGAGAGAGCAGGCAGCCACTGCAGCAGGAGTTCAAATTCGTATGACAACCAGACACATACAGATGGAATTATTGAACTTTTTTCTCCCTGTGTACAGCATGAACAAGACAGACTGCAAGCAGCGAAGGCAAAAGCTTTGCAGGAGACTCTCACTTACATGACCACCATCCTGTCAGAGAGGGAGGGAGAAATGTGGTACCAGGAACAGACGAGAATGCTGAAGAAGCAGAAAGAAATGCATGAAACTACTCCCAACCAGGTTATTACCAACATAACAGATCAAAACCTTGAGTCACTACAAAAGCAAAACCAGGAAGCTGGAGAAGACATGGAAATGCTGTTAAAGACTGTCTGTGAGCAAGTGGAGCAGACCTTAGAAACCTTAAAAGAAAAGGACAGGCTCCTAGCCATCCAAAAGCAACAAACAAGGAGCTATGAGGAAAAAACAGAAGAACAGATGAATGTCTTGCGCAAAGACTTAGAGTACACTAAGGCAATACTGAAAGAAAAGGATTTCATGATTGAATCTCAGAAGGAAGTGATTGAGAACTTCCAAAACCAAGAACAAGACTCTGAACAGCAGAAGAAAATTCTGCACCAACTTGAAGTGGCACTAAAAGAAAGAGATCAAGAAATTGTATCCCTTAGAAAGCAATGCGAGGCATGCAGGGAAAAGGAGAAAAAGCATGAAGCTGATCAAATGGATCTTCAAGCAACAAAACAGACTCTGAAAGAGAGAGAAGAAAAGATAAGGACGCTGGAGGAGGCTGTCTCTAAGCTCCAACAGCAAAAGGAGGAGGCAGCAGTGGTGACTGAAGCCATACAGCAAAAACTAGAATACATAGAGTCTTCTCTAGGTGCCCGAGATAAAGAGACAATGTCTTTAAAAGGGCATGTCCAGGACCTTCAAAAGCAGAAGGAATCAGCAGGCAAACAGGCCATGACTCTAGAGCAGGATCTTGAGAAAATGAGACAAAGATGGAATTTGGACTTCCTCAAGAAGACAGAGAAAATTAATATGCTACGACTGCATGCTGAAAGAATGAAAGGAGCACTAACATCATGGCAGGAGCAAGTGGATCCGCTTGAGGAAGTGGTGAAGAACAGAGATGAAGACCATGAAACTCTTAAGCAGAAACTCCAGCACCATGAAGAACTGAGGACCTTGCAGGAACCTCAGACCAAGGCTGAAGGGGAACACAGAGAGTTAGAAGAGGAAGTAAGAGCTTTTCGGGAAGATCTGCATGTTCAGCAGACTCTGACAAGGAAGGATGGAGAGATGAAGTACCAGCAAGATGGAGTCCAGTATTTAGGGGTGACTCTGGCAGGGGTAGAACAACAGCTTAGGAGGCAGAGTGAGATCCTGAAACACTTACTGGCTTTTCAGTGGAAAGGTGAAGGGGAGACTCTGAAGAAACCAATCCAGAAACTCCAAAAATGTGAGAAAGAGGAAGCAGAAGCAGAGAAGAGGAGAGTTCTCTGGGAGAGAGACCGTTCCTTGCAAATGCAGAAGGAGCTAATGGAACAACTACAGGATGAGAGGAAAGCAAAGGGGAAAGAATTGGAGCATCTGACTTCTCTTTTGAAGCACACTGAAGGCAGAGAACTCAAATGGAAAGAGAAGGCACAAGCCCTGACTCATGTCCTTACCAAGAGTGAAATGACCAACAGGATTCTGAGGGAAGAAATAGCCACCCTACAGAGTGCTGTTTCAGACAGGGACACAGACAGGTTTCATCTCCAGGTAGGCACTGTGACTGATCATAGTCAACTAAAACATCTATGAAGGATTCTAATGATGCTTCCCATCAAGATACATTCCCATAAAATTATGACCTGCTTAGCCAGAAGAAGCTGTGACTGCAGCTAGCAGGCTTGCCTGTCTCTATAGCCCCAGCTAGAGCCCATTCACTGCTGGAATGGTTTCTGTCAAGCCCAGAATTACTGAAAGAACTATGGAGCTTGCTGTTAAAAAGAACCTAAGTCCAAAAGTTGGGGGTGGGTACTTGGTCCTCTCCTATCTAAGCAACCTTAGCCAACGTGTCATGGTTAGGACATGGCATGTGCCAAAAATGGTTGAAAGAAAATGTGTGTGGATTTCTCCAAGGTGATATGGAGGAGAACCCCTGGGAAGAGAGTTGGTTGTGTTGGGCTCTGGACCAGGAGGGGAAGAAGGGACTCGGCACCTTCTAACCTTCGTGTGGCACCAGCTCACATAATCTCCTCTCTGAACACCCAGCAGGGTACTGCAGGAGTGCAGCAATCATGGCTCTTGGAGAAGCAGCTCCTGTCGCAGCGGCTGGGACATCTGCATCAAGAAGTTGCAAGGCTGGAACTTGCCAACACTGAGATGAAGCAATGCAATGCTGAGCTCAAGAAGACTCTTGAGGAGGTAAAACAGGTTTTCACTGCCTATGCTAAGCCTCACAGTTCACTAGAGCACAACACATCTCCACAGACAGGACTCCACAGAGGAGTCCTCTGCTTATTCCCTTCCCTCTCCCACTTTCCTCTGGGACACACCCTTTCGTGTTTTCCCTCTCTTCTGGCACCCCATTTGTCTTCACAAATGCACATTCACTCTGGTACCATCCTTCTTACCCCAGAGTCCCCATACACACACGCTGGACTCTCCTGTGTCAGGAAGCGTTTCCTCTTGCTCTTTCTCGTCCATAGTCTACACCGAGTGCTTTTTGCCCTCAACATTTTTGCCCCAGACATCCTTTCGCTCCTTGTTTGGTGGCAGGTTTCTGTGACCCTTTCTCCTGTCCAACATGCAGGTGGAACATGAACGGAGGAAACTGATGAGGTTCCACTGTGATCAGTCACTGCTAGGTTCAAGTGGATCTTCCTTCTCCAAGTCTCACTGGCACAAGCTGCCTGCTTCTAGACAGGTGAGAACAGGGGCTTACTTGGTGGGAGGAGGCTCTGGCACATCCCAGTGGCAGCAGCCCCCCAGTATAGACATACTAGAAGTCAAATGTAGACCATGGTCCTGGCCAAACTGGAGACCAAAAAGAAATCCTTGTGTTTTCTTCACAGGAGGAGTCCTATGCACACTGCAGTCATCAATTACCTGAATTGCAGAACCACGGGAGGAGCAGGAAAGCTCTTGCTCCCTGAGCAGCTGCAGCACCACGGGGTTCCTGTCCTGTACCCTTCCCAGAACCATCTTCTTTCTTTCTGTGGGAAAGGGGGGTGGGTTTGTTCTCTTTACATTTAAAAGTAGTTGGCATGTGGGCAGGGACTGTCGACTTTCATTTTTGTTTGTTAATAAAAGACGTTCTGCAATTGTTCAGTAGGTCTTCCTTCCTGCCCTCTTTATAGAGAGGTGTCTCGTCGGCCAACCTCCAATCCTCTGGGACCTGCCCACTAGACCAGAACTGCTGACAGATGACGGAGAGTGGCTTAGCAAGCTCCTCTGCCAGCTCCTTCAATGCTCTTGGGTGGAACCCATCCGGCCCCATAGATCTGTGTACGTCTAAGAGGAGCAGGAGGTCGCTAACCATTTCTTCCTAGATTATGGGGACTTCAGTCAGCTCCTCATCTCTGTCATCCAGCTCACGGAACCGAGTACCCTGAGCACGGCCGATGTGACTATTAAAGACTGAGGCAAAGGCAGCAATAAGCACTTCAGCCTTTCTCTCATCCTCAGTCTCTAGGTTTCTCCTAGTATCCAATAGAGAATGGACCTCCTTTTATTGCTAATGCATTTGTAAAAGTACTTTTTAATATCTTTCATGGCAGTAGCCAGATTTAGTTCCATCAGTGCCTCCACCTTTCTACCTTTCTCCCTACAGAACCTGACATCTCTGTACTTCTCCTGGGGTGACAGTCCCTTCTTCCACAGGTGATAAGATCCTCTTTTCCCTTGAGTTCCAGCACTACCTCCCTGTTGAGCAAGGCTGGTCTGTTCCCTGCCGGTTGAGTTGTGGCACATAGGGACCGCCTGCTCCTATACCTTGAGGATTTCATTCTTGACGAGCATCCAGCCCTCCTGGACCCCTCTGTCCTTCAGTAATGTGCCAACCAGTGCCCTGAAGAGGCCAAAGTCAGCCCTCTGGAAATGTAAGGTGGAGGGTTTGGAATTTTACTCTTGTTTTTAATACAAGCCGGTTTGCTCAGTTGGCAGAGGGAGGCCAACTGGTAGGTAAGTATGTGGCTTGGGAAAAGATTGTACTGGATTTTTACTTGCACAAGTAAGCCGTTGCGAGCTGCTGCACGCTTTAACCTCTGGATTTCCTAGCCATCCCCTGTGAGGAGGGAGGGAAATGGAGGTGTTACCAAAATGGGACGGGGGGAAGAGCACTCGGCAGCGATGGAAGGTGCGGCAAGAGTGGGGCTCTTCCCTCCGTCCCTCCCAGCTCCAGCACAAGCCGCGCTGATGCTCTCCCGAGGGGATGCGCTTCAGCTCTGTGGCTGCTCCTCAAGGGACGTCAGTAACGAGCCTCAGAGCCTTCAGAGCCGGCGGCGATGGCCGGGAGGGTGTCTCGTGAAAGCCGCTTCGCCTCGGCCCCGGGCCCTGTCCCGCGGCCGGGACCCG